TTGGTATTCTGATTTACCTTTCTCTAGAATGCTATGTAAGATGGACACTCCAAGATACTCCCATACTTAAAGGGAAGTATTTTTTGTTCCTGGCATGTTACATTACCTAGGAGTATACATACTATTTGGGTCAGATAGGAGAAATATATAGATCTGTATGCTCAAAGAATACCACTGCTGCTATGACACAAACACACACACAAAATTTCAAGGATTTTTCCATTACAGAAATAAAGCCACTTACTGAAAAAGTCTCTGTGATGACCTAGATGGGTGGGGTGGGGGAGCGTGGGAGGGAGGTCCAGGAGGGAGGGAATATATGTACACATACAGCTCATTCACTTCACTGTATAGCAGAAACTGACACAACATTGTAAAGCAATTATACTCCAATAAAAAAAAAAGATTTCAGTTAAATCCTATGTGAGTCTACCTGTAGTCTCTCACAATGCTCTTCAGAGCCCGATGATGAATCAAATCATACGTTTCCATCTGACACCAAAATGTCAAGAAAGGGTAAAGCTGATAGAAGACAGCCATTAAGCAACATAAAAGGAACTTCTATATAGAACTGACAAGAGAAGCGTAGACATAACAAATGCATTCAAAGGGAACATAACTAAGATACCCATTGCTCATCTCTCTTTGTTAAATCAACAAATGAATTCATACCAAAATACTATCAAATCATAGTCAAATCACTCTCCCCCAGGAACACCAAGAACAAGTCCAAATAGACTTTCAGATAAACCTTTACTAATCTCCAAGCCCAAGTAAATCTTTTAAGTGCGCAATCCAAGGCATTGCTTCAGTAGGCTGAATGAACCTTAACACAAATTTGAAAGCAAGAAAATTATTTAAAAACATTTATATCAAACAACAATGACATCGAAAACATAAGACTTTATTGGAAGAGTTAAGGAAAATTACAAGGTAGTAGTGCTTCTTAGATGTAATGTCCTACTGGGAAGTGGACTATGGAACATGTTTCTGGAAGGTGAAATTTTGACTATAAACATGGTTGTTTTTTAGTCTGTCTTCAGTTTTGGAAACCAGGAATAATGAATAAAGGTGAAAAGTACAGGGACGCACTAGGCAGCTTTAGAAGAAGCAAAGCTAGGGAAGGAGGGTGGTGATTTTTTTCTTTTTGCCGAATGATATCATGGTAATAATTTTTCTATTTTGTTATGTTTTCAAATTTTATATTTTTAAATTTTAAGAAGGCTCATTCTGTAAAGTAAGATTCACGGTGCAGAAATACTGTTTTCCCCCGAAGCTACCTGATATCAGGGTGAGCCCCAAGATATACATACTGGCTGGGGAAGGAATACAATCTTACTTCGGCATTGCCCGCGTCATTTTTTGTGGCTGAATATTGTTATTCCTGAGTGCAATTGAGGTATCGAGGGATGTGTTGAACCTTTCTGATATAATTTCTATTGTAAATACTTAACAGCACAGCTATTATACCTTCAAGTGCTGTAATTTCTGCTTTTGGCTCAAGTTTTTGCTTTTGGCTCGATTCACTATTTACTCATAAACCTAAGACTATCAACTGATAACCTCAATTGGATGAAGATCAAGCCACTACTGTAAATAAGGAGTGGGGACCGCAAGGCTGGATGGCAGATGGGAACCTGATGGCTCACACAAAACCTCAGGACGTTTTAGCCCTCAAATAGTTTGCTTTTTTCTTTAAGAGACAGGAAAATATTTTATATACAATATAAACTCAAAAGACACAAATCACGTACCTGAATTAAAATTTAAGCCTAACATCTGAAAATGAATAGCACATTTATCTTATACATTTTTCTACATATTACAACCACATATGTGTCATTTGGAGGCCAGTATCATTGAAAACCTCATTTTTTATTTCTGCATCTGTCAGAAGACAGGACCACAAACAAGTGCTTTCTCAAATGATACTATTGATTTATAGGCTGTGAACAAGGACTGTTTCTACCTTTTGCAGTTCTTCAGAACCAGTCAGAGCCTTACAGATTCCCTACTTCAATTCTTGGATTTTATAAGGAAACTGAAGGCTTAAGAGATTCTTACATTGCTAGGTCGAAAAATTAGCCTAATGGCATTGGAGTTCCTTGAATATGTTATTATACACTTGTAAAGAATCATAAAAAGAAAGAATTATTATTAAGAAGGTAGATGAAAAATGCCAATCTCTTTTTATACAAAAGTACATGTTTGTAAGCACAAAAATAAATAAAATTCGTACCTTGCTACCAATTGTCTACAAACTATTTCAGAGAATAGAAGCAGGATAAATGCTTCCTAATTCATTCTAGGAGGCCAGCATTACCTTAATATCAAAACCAGACAAAGGCAATACAAGAAAACTACAGACAAATATCTCTCATGAACATAGAAGAAAAATCCTCAACAAAATATAGCAAATAAAATCTAAAAATGTATAAAAACTATTATACACAATGGCCAAGTGGGATTTATCCTAGAGTTTACAAGGCGGATTCAACACTGAAAAATGAATTAATGTAATCCATTACATCAATAGACTAAAAAGAAAAATCACATGATAATATCAATAGACGCAGAAAAAAAATCTGACAAAGTCTAACATGCATTCATGATAAACGCTTTCAGTAAAGTAGGAATAAGAGGGGGACTCCCCGAACTTCATACACTCTAGCAACAAAATATCTACAACTAATGTCATACTTAATGTAAGAAACTTGAACTTTCCCACTAAGATCAGGTACAAGACAAGGATGTGCTCTCTCACTATTCCTTTCAAAATCATACTGTAAGTCCTAGCTAATGAAATAAGGCAAGAAAAGGAAATAAAGGTATACAGATTGGAAAGGAAGACAAAAAACTGTCTTTGTTCACAGATGACGTGATCATCTATGCAGAAAATACAAAAGAATCGACAAAAAAATCCTGGAAATAATAAGCACTTATAGCAAGGTTGCAAGGTACAAGGTTAACATGCAAAAGTCAATTGCCTTCCTATATACCAAGAATGAATATGTGCAATTTGAAATAAAAACACCATTTACATTGGCACCTGAAATTTGAAGTACTTAGGTATAAATCTAACAAAATATGAAATAAGACTTGTATGACGAGAACTACAAAACTCTGATTGATGAAATCAAAGAAGAACTAAATAAATGGAGGTATTCCATGTTTGTGGGTAGGAAGACTCAATATTATCAGGTTGTGGGTTCCTCCCAAATCAATGTATACATGCAATGAAATTCCAATCAAAATCCCAGCATTATTTTATGGATATCAACAAACTGATTTTAAAGTTTAATTGGAGAGGAAAAGACCCAAAATAGTCAACACAATATTGAATGAAAAAACAAAGCTGGACTGACATTACCTGACTTCAAGACTTACTATGAAGCTATAGTAATCAAGATAGTGTAGTGTTGGTGAAAGAACAGACATAGAGATCAGTGGAACAGAACAGAGGGCCCAGAAATAGACCCTGATCTTTGACAAAAGAACAAAGGCAATACAATGGAGCAAAGATATTCTTTCCAACAAACAATGCTGGAAAAATGGGGCATCTACATGCAAAAATGGACCTAGACACAGACCTTACACCCTTCAGAAAAATTAACTCAAAATGGATCACAGACCTACATATAAAACACAAAACCATAAGACTCTTAGAAGATGACATAGGAGAAAACCTAGATGACCTTGGTCATGGCACAACTTTTTAGATACAACACCACGGCCACAAGGCATAAAAGAAATAATTGACAAGCTGGACTTCATTAAAATTCAGAACTTTTGCTGTACAAAAGACAATGTCAAGATTATTAGAAGACAAGCCACAGACTGAGAGAAAACATTTGCAAAACACACATCTGATAAAGGACTTATCCAAAATATACCCAAAACACTTACAACTCAACAAAAAGAAAACAAACAATCTAATTAAAATATAGGCCAAAGGCCATAACAGACACCTCACCAAAGAAGACATACAAATAGCAAATAAGCATATAAAAAGATGTTCCACATCATACGTCATCAGGGAAGTGCAAATTAAAGCAACAATATGATGGAATCTTAGGTACCTATAAAAATGTGTTTTCATGTAATATTCCATGACAGGGAAATCTTATCATGCTACCATGTTAAATGGAAAAAGCCACATACAAAACTCTATATACAATTACGTATAGCACACACACACACACATATGTACATACACACACACACACACACACACGCACCATACAGACATGCAAATGTTCAGGCATACCCAAGATACTGGAAAGAATTAAACCAAAATCTTATTAACCATGAGGATAGAATTTCTAACACTTTAAGTTAATTATTTCTAAAATAAAAAATAAAGCATTAACAAGAAAAAAACACAACAATCAGCAAAATACAAATGCAGAATATTGGGGTGTCCTCATGCAGGCTTTAATGACATCCCTATGCATGAATCTGTCAACATAAGGAGAAATAGTCGTTTTCTCTAACCTACAGAGAGGGCATTCCTCTGCTGCCTGATATGAGAGGCGGCCTTATTCAATCAAGTGGTTAGTTACACACACACTTAAATCTAACTGTGTATGAATACAGTAGCTTTTATTTATAAAACCCCCAAAAAATAATGACAGGAAAATTTTTCTTGCAGGAGACAATATTATTTTTCCAGCAATTGTCTCCTTGTGTATCTGGGAGGTGGTTCATTTCCTTAGAAAGATGTTGTGAGTTATTAATATAAAGGTCACAGCTTAACAGCAGGAAACACAGAGGCAATGCTCCTAGTAAGATAATATGATCAACACTACATATTTTAATGCCATCTTTATCAACTTTAATGGAAGGTCCTAAAATACTGGCTGGTGGGCTGCATTCTGACTTACAGAAAAATGTTTCCGATTTCTCCTTTGAAAAATTAAAAAGTGACTTTAATTACCTATTGTTTTCAGGGAAGTTGAGAACGCCAGATGTTGAGAGTGACAGTGTTTTCAGACCCTTACCTGATGTCCATACATGTTATGCAGGTGATGTCTCGACTATTTGTTGTGATCAGGTTCAAAGCTACTGACGTTTCCTGGTCAGAGGTCGGGTGTGCTCCACATTTAAAGAAAAATTCCTGAAAGAATAAGAAATACGATCACTGACATGGAATCCGGCTCGCCATTTCCCCCTCTAAACATTTTCACAGTAAAGAACCTCTTCAGGAAGAGAAGAGATCTATTAGGTGTGAGTCTGAAATAAATCAACATCAACTCTTTTGAGGGAAACTAATGCCCTTGTGCCAAACTATTCAACAAGTCCTCTTTTTAGAAGGGTCCAATTGTCTGCTAGTCTTTTCTTCTTTTTCTCTTTCAGCCAGGTTGCTGGGGGAACACTCTGTGTGTGCCCCTAGCTCACCTCTCGGTGAGAAGTGAGTCTGGTAAAATAACACAGTGTGGATGCAGGAGGAAGCCTGAAATAGCATCTCGAAAATGAGGAAGAGGAGACCCTGAGCCACGAGATGATTTGCCCAAAGTCAGACAGTCAGAGGTGAATCCAGGAAGTAACCCAGGCTTCTTAAAGGGAAACTCAGTGCTTTTTCTACAGGATCACCGCACAGTTGGTCAGTTAGCAGCAAGAATATAGTGCAGGGTAAGAAATCTAGCAATCTCAACTACTGACAAGCATGCTAATATTGCAGACTTATGGGGGAGCAGAGTGTGCCTCTCCCCCTTTGGCATCCCAGGATTCCCTGGGAGTCTCACCTGCCCACCCCCTGCCAGGCAGTTAGGAATGTTCTAAACCCGCACCTCTTTCCTTCTTAGTTCATTTCCCAGCCCTGTCCTGCCACACACTCCTTTATCTTAGCTTGTGGGATCGTACCTCCCCAAGCAGGGGCTGAGCCCTGGCCCTAGGCAGTGAGAGTGTGAAGTCCTAACCTCTGACCGCTGGGGAATTCCCAAGATACATCTTTTGATTGATAATATTCTCCCTTCTCAAACAAAATATTTTTTGTTTTTCTTATTTTCATCTTCTGTTATTTCTGTATTTTTCACATACCCCTTTTCCCTCTCACACACCAAAGTGTTTGACAGGTAAGTACTCTGCTTCTTGTCAAACAGTCTGTACAGCTTCCATGGTAATAACATCCATGAAGCTAAATTGTGTGCCACTGCAAAACTTCTGTACAAATGTAACACTGGAGGACAGAAGGCCCCTTGCATATACACTTAATCCTCAGCTCCGTTTGTGTATAACTACTGGGATATAGAAAGTATTTTCCCTTTAAACACTAGACCTGGTGTCAGCAAACTTCTATTAAAGCACCACATATTAAATGTCTTCAGCTTGGCGGGCCATATGGTCTTTGTTGCACTGCTCGACTTTGCATTATTGTCTAAAAGCAGCCATGGACCATATGCAAATGAATGGATGTGGCTGTGTCCTAATAAAACTTTATTTACAAAAACATGTAGCAAATTGGATTTTGCCTGCAGGCATAGATTGTCCAACCAAAAGACCCTGAGATATCTGTGGAATGTCTTATTCACATTTGTATCCTAACAGTATACAGCACAAGCATTAGATATATTTTCTTAAATAAAAAAAAAATCAATAGATTTACTTAATAAATGCTACCAGTGTTTCTTTATACATCTGACACCACCACTCTTAATCTGTCCTTTCCCTGCTTGTAACCAAACTAACTTCCTCCTCCTCTGACCTGAGACACAGCGAGCCACACCTGTGGGTGTCAAAGTCCAATGGGCATCAGAATCACCCAGGAGGCTTGTTAAACTAGACATCGCTGGGAGTCACCCCAGGTGTTCTGACACGGGGCCAAGGATTTGCATTTCCAACAAGCTTCCAGGTGATGCTGTTACTACTGCTCTGCGGACCACACTTTTGAGAACCACTGAGTTACAGCAACATTAGCGGTAAGGGGAGTAAACTCTACTTATTCTTTCGGAAGACAGTGGCTGTAGCAGACCTCGTTTATCACATGTGAAAATAATGTCATGTCTCAGGGAAAATATGTCACTCTTAAAAATCTGGAGTGTGCAGAGAAATGTCCTCAAGCCAGGAGTTAGGAACCCAGGCTGTTCTTAAGAACAAGTGTCTCATCAATTCCAGATGGTATAGCTGCTAGCTAGCCAGAACCCCTCCTACCTGGGGCAAGTGACAGAGCAGCCAACCTGCCAGCCTGCAGTCCTCAGCCCAAAAGATGAGGGTGTGCCAACAGTCCCGCTATGATGGGTGGGGTGTGCAGTACAGCTGATGGGAGCCCGTCAGGCACGTCTGTAAAGTGCAACGTGGCTTCCCTTGAAGCAGCACGGAAATCATATTGATTGTTTTTGTTTTCTCTTTTAACATGGAATGCCACCTTTTTCGCTCAAGTTTTTGAAATGATATACATCCTTCAAAGGTCAGTTCAAGGGTATTATGAAAAAGAGTTAAGGCAAACCTTGACTATCAAAACAAGACGTCTGGAGGACATGACTGATCCTTGTGAAATACACAGAGCTAGCTGTGACTGCTTTTTGCAGATATGAAAAAAATGCTCACTCATAACGAAAAGTAATTCCTCCAAAATGGCTGAGTTGGCTGGACTATCAAGAAGATATTTCATATACAGATAAATAGTATTTATATTTTTTCTTAGCTTGCAGAAAGCTACTGGTAGACATTCAGCTAACAAATCACATACTGCTCTAACACCAGCTAAAAGTCAGATAAAAGGCAAAATCCTTTTTAATGGAGGTAGGGATTTTACAAACAATGGTATAATAAGTTACAAATGTTTGGAAAATTACAGTAATTCACATGGCGTGATAGAATTAAAATACAAATTACCAACTCTATATATTAAATATGTATCAGTCATCAGTGAATTTCCGGGCCTTCTCCACCAGTTTTTGTGAAAGGAGGTTCTTTTCTGGTGCTAGAGTAGCAAAACTGGTGGAGGGTCCGAGATTTTGCCCAGCTTGCAAGCTAACAGACCGTCTCAGGGATGCTGGCAGAAGACATGAGACAAAAAAACTGCATGGCTCAGAGCCCAGGCAGAATGAAGTATGGACATCATGATGATGTCAGTTTCTCTGCATCCCAACTCCCAGGAGATGAAGTGGCCAGGCCAAGCTAGCTGGGGGGTTTCTGCATCACAGCTGAGGACCCTGAGCTTAGGGAACCCAGATCTTTTATAAGGACCTGTAAGCCAACTTTCCCTTTGTCCTAAAGGGAGACACCGTGTTTATTATACTGAACAATAAGCAGGTCCACCTTTTACTCTAGAGAGAGATACTATCATTATTTTCCAGGTTGTTTGCTATACAATTTCCTTGAAAAGATTATCCAGAAAAAAAGGGTAGTTAGTGCTCCCTCACAAGTTGTGCAGAAACTTGAGAGAACCCTGGAGAAGTGTCTGCCAATAGTAACAACACCTTTTCCACAGACTAATCAACAGAACGAGCTGATCATTTCCTGTCCTGCACAATCAATGGGTCATTAGCACTTTCAAAATCTTTCTGATATTTGCAGGCTGCGTTCAAAACACACAAACAATAAAGCAAAACACAACAGAAGTAAGAAAAACCTTGCTGAAAAATTCTACCTTGGGTATTTCAACTTGCTTATGTAGAGTTGTCATCTCACACACAGCTGCATGATTCTTTTGGAGTAATCGTCTATGAATTCTGCTTTCTATGATGTTTTTCTCTTGATTGTTCAGATTAAAAAATCAAGGATGCCAAAGCCAGAAAAATCTTCTAGCCAGGGTCTAAGCAGTGTGGTCAGAAAGCTGACACCACCGTGAGATCTGGCCATCAGGGGCATGACACCAGCTGATCCCCACAAGGACCCAGGGAACAGCTCACTCCGGGCCAGATGACAGCGGTTGCGCCCCACGGCCTGGCTGCTTGAGGTGGCATTACTCTAGTTCCAGTGGGTGCCGGGTTTGACAAGCAAAGTTACTTCTATATCACCAGGGATATAGTCCCCTATGGGTGCAGAAGAGAAAACTTCTTGTTCATTGAGCGGAGGGACATCTGTCAATTCTAGTGAAGGAAATATAGGATCCTTATGTGGGTAAATAAAGAATCTCAAAGGGACCCACCCATCTTTCACAAATGCCATCTCACAGGTAAAATCAGCTACAAAAAAAACAAGAAAGAAAACCAAACAAATCCAGTCCCATTAAATGAAATGAATTCCTGCACCTAACCAGGAGCTGCAGTTCCCACTGGCTGGCTCACTTCACTTGGATCCATATACTCAGTTCTGGGAGGCCCTAATTAGCTATGGAGCTAAAATCTATGACAGTAATTGGCCAGGATTTTTTTTTTCCCCAAATGATAGTGTGAACTATTTTAAAAAATGAAAAAAAAAAATAATCCCAGAGTAAGACCTTAAAAAATGTGCTGGGGTTTATAATGTGACCCTGTTAAATGTTATTTAGTACTATAAGGTGCTTTTCACCTTATTAATACTAAAGAGAAAATCCAAAATATAACAGAGTTATATTCTTTAAGTTCTTAGAAACACACTCATATTTTTGCCATTTCTGTGGACAAGGCTACGATTCTTTCCTTCCATTCTCGCTGAGGCCTCGTATTTTATCATAACCCACTCATCCTTTCCTTTTAGATCTTAGAGGCCTAGCCTGCTGGCTGAATGATGCCCATAAAAAGCAATGTTATACCAAGGGAAAGACCTGTGAACAGTTCAACTGTTGGAAGCTACCTCTTTCTCCTCATTCCATTCTGCTACCTGACTCAAGACGCTGCCAGTGTTTCTAACAAACAAAGGGGAAAATGAAAAGTATGGAAACGAATAAATAAAGCAGCAAAATCTGAACTGGATTAATACCAAGAACCCAATTTATAAAAACTTATATAATCAGAAGCTAATCGTCAACTCTAAACACAAATTAATGTGTTCCAAATTTCTATAAAAATAACTTACAACTAACATCTGGCAAGCCCTGCTTGTCTCAAACACAATCTAGTTTCACAAACCTGAAAAAACAGCAGTGAGACCTGACTTCTTCCATCATGAAACTTCAACTTTTATCGAACTTCTTAAAGTTAACAATTTTAATAGATATTGCTTAACAATTACATGTTTTCCACATAAAAATGG